AATTTATCCTTGACTTCTACGACCTTTAGAGCCATAGCTGACATTTTGTCCTCAAATTGAACTTGAAGTGCCGCAGTCATACCTTTTAAAAGCTTTTCAGTTTCTTCAATCTGTTTTTCTAGCACAACAACGTCGTCGATAGCCTTTTGGATGTCATTGGCTTCATTTTTAAAGAAAACCATGTAAAGTTTGTCAAGGCCTGGCTCGGCGAGTTTTTTTTTTTTTCATAATGCTAAGACATGTTAGTAAACAGCTTTTCCACTGCCTCATTACGGAGGAATTCATTTTTAATTCCTCAGCATTAAAATTTGCTAGACTTATTTTCATTGCCGAACACCTTGTCTTGCTGCCACTTAACCTGTTAATGACAGCAAGACCGCGCTTTTCTGCCACAGCAAGGTTGGCCCAAGCCATGTTGATTGGGTCATCTGATCCCGAATTTGTTTTTATCAGGTTCTCAGTATGGGCGGAAAGCCTCGCTTCTCTTCCCAGTTCGCCCTGTGTCTTAGGGGTTGTACTAACCCCTAATTCAGCAGAATTTTGCACTTTATCAATTATGTCATCTTTGCCATGGGATTGTGACATGAACTGCTCCATTTCTTCATCATCTTAAAAAAGATCTACGGATTGGCTGGAGCATTGAAGCGGAGCGGTCAAGTCTTCTTTGCTAGTGGAAGCTTTGGGTGTCAGGGGACCCGAAACAGTGCTTGTGGCAGCTTCAGCTGATTCCTCGCTTGCTTTATCTTGCGCCGCCTTATTATCACCTCTGCTCTTCCTCTCCTTCTTTCCCTTCTTGTGTTTTTTCTTCTCTTTGTCGTCATTTTCTCTGTCTTTCTTGTCTTCTTTTTTACGTTTACGCTGCTTTCTGTCCTGAAAGTTAAAAAACAGAGTCACAATTCCGTCTGTTGGTACGACCTATAATGTTGATTTTAAATTCTTACATACCTGGTCAACTACTACATTAGAAGTTTTAACAGCAAAGTCCTTCTTCTAAGCAAACACAATATGATTAGTAAATTTGAAAAAAATGATTAACCTTATTAAAAAACAATGTCGATTACGTACTTCATGAGGCAAGAGAAGCTGATCTGGAAACTGAAATAAAAAAAATATGAAAATTAGCACTGCAACAGAATACCAGCACAGTATTGCTTGAGTCCGTGTAAACATATTTACCTTATCTGGTCCCTCTTCATCAATGATGAGCTTCTCATCTTCGCTGTCACTTGACAGGCATTCAACCACATCCAAATTTTTACACTCCACAGTGACAACTGCCAGGGGTAATCTGCAACAAACACAAAACAACTTTTTAGCCATTCCAGTCAATTCAGTCAGTATATTTTTACGTCTCTAAAAGATACTACTAGTTTTGAGGTTATCAGGAGGTCAGTTTTGGGAGGCGATCCACATCTGTTAGAAGTTCAAACCAAGTGTTCCAATGGCTGAAATATGCAGATGGGGACTCGAACTGTCATCTGTAACCATTGATGCACCATATTTCAACCCCGTTTTGATCCTAAACGGCTGCCAAAAATGTGCTGCAAGAA